GAAATTTCTCCGAAACCCCTCCTGGTCGCCGCCGTACTCGACGACCGTATAAGCTTGCCTACCAGTGTAACTATAGATCGAGGTTATCCCTCGGGGTTCTGCACCGACCCAATCCAGGGTAGGATCGTCGATGGTGTCAACCAGATTAATGCTCTCCTCGGCAGTGCTGGTTCCCTCGGTGTCAATGTGCTTTGAGGACTCGGGAGTATCGACCATTTACCTGCAAAGTACATGAAACCAATGAATTTGACGGCAAATCCGCTTTTCTGTGACACAAACGGGGATATTAAGCGACACTCAGACCAAGTCAACGGCCATTCACACGAAAGAGGGGGAATACATGGACCTCGATCAAGCACCGATCCTAACGATGAACGCCTATATCTATCATAAATATACCGAGCACAAGAAGAATGTTGCGAGCAAAGAATGAATTTCACGACCAAGTTCATAAAATTGTTAGCCGGATACAAGAAGGTCACGGGGAAAACTAGCCTAGATACTAACGAAAGAATGAATTTCACGACCAAGTTCATAAATTTGTTAGCTAAATGCATGAATATCATGGGCATGATCATAAATTGTATGCCTAAATGTATAAGCGTCACGGGCACGCTCATGAATCAGACGCCTAAAACGCTTGAATTCCCTGGGTATAACCCCCAGACACGAAATCCTATTACTAAACACCATCAAAATCTATCTACAACACAAGATATCAAGGAAAAAGAATGCTTACTTGGAGGAAAGATGAAGAGCGATAATTGTTAAGATAGGTACGCGGCAGACTGTGCGGCAGTCTCAATGACTTTGGGAAAACGCACGGTGTTGACGGCAGAGAAAGTGTAGAAGCGCAAAAATGTGAAAGTAAGTTATGGACCATAAAGCCCTATTTATAGAGCTGACGTGGAATGTGAAACGTCGCGTCAAGTAATCACAAGCGACCTTTCTCCTCGACACCTACTTGTACATGCAATGATGGCCCCTACTCCCTAGGCCATCATTATTGTTTCCAAGAACCACGCCACGTGTCTGGCAAGCGTATCATCCTCTCCCCGTGAGTACTCCTCGAACACGCTTCGACCGTTGCACGAAGCAAAATCATGAATCGACGACGTCCTCCATCCGCGGTAGAAAAACTCCATGTCGCGCAACGAGCTTCGCGAAGGGGTGAACTTGAATCAAGTCATAACTCCTTCACCAGGAGCAACGACTTAGGAGGCTTCTGTTCTGGACTGGGCCTGCCCTTGTCCCAACTTCCAGTAAGGCCCAATCCAAGCGTACCAACCTGTTGCCTGGCCGGTATTATCCTCGAACACACCCCGACCACAAAGGCCTTGTCGACCAAGACTGTTTCTCGTTGGTGCTTGCGGGGACCATCCCTGACGAGCAGGCGCTCCTCCTGAGCACCTTCCTCGTAGGGCTGACTTCCAACCTCTCTGGATATTGCAGAGTCTTCGTGGTCCCAGAAAGATCGCATCCATATCCTCCTGGTCTTGCGGAGGACGTTATCCAGGTAGAGGGCCACATGCGGGTCCCCACTACTCACGTAGAACCTGACAGTCTCGATGTTGGTCCTGTTTGATCAGCCCAATAGAGAGACCTTGGCCCAATGCTGAGGGCTATAAATATACTCTCTTCCGAGAGGGTCAGGTATTCAACATCTTTCTATAAACTCATACTTGCTTGCTCATTCCACAACTTACTTTGCCATCAGAGTGTCTTGCAGGTACCCCCATCTCATTCAACTTCTGCCCGAGCTAACTGTAACGGTCCATTTCTGATTAAGTAAGATCAGTTAAGTTTGTTGCTGTTTCAGTTGAGAGAAAATTTGAAGATGATAAGGAACAAAGGAAGAACGATTGTGGTGAGAGGCAGAGGAAAATTTGGCGTGAAAGAAAAATAGAGAGAGATGGAACGACCACAACCTTTTAGCATTTAGGGTTTTTAATTTTGTTTGGGCCTTAATCCATGTTAGCCCAACCCGGATTCAACCACTCCAACCCAATCCTCTTCCTTATTTTATTGTTTTGTTTGGATAATAAACAAAAGAAAACTTGGGCCTCTGCGCCTAAACCAGGCCCATCTGCCCCGATTCCCTTAATATTCAGCCCAATCTAATTTTTCACACTCTCCACTCCCATAATTGTTTCAACACCCCCTTGTCTTGTTTGTTTTATTTTTAATTTCTAGTTTAGTTTTTAAATTCAATTAAATTATAATACAATTTTTTCTTAATTAAATATTTTTTTATTAACTCAATTTTTAAAATTGGTTTAGGAATTTTTGTGAATAATTAGTTTTGCTAATTAATATTTTATTTTTAATATTGTTTAATTAACTTCTTTTTTAAATTGTTTACTTTCTCTTCAATTTGAGACTTGTCTTGTGATTGATCATGGCTTCTTAGTGTTTGTATTTTGTTACATGCTTGTATGCTCACATGCTCCATTAGGATTTTTAATTCAATTTTAATATCTTGATTAAATTGAATTAATTAGACTTTAGGATTTCTAAACCAAGCATGATGACATTAGGTAGTTATCTTATCCTAACTTTAGGACCACCATTGTATGATAACATTAGGTTCACAGTCTCCCTTCGACTTTTTATTTTCCCTTTTGCATCATTAAAACTAAAACTTCTTTTTCTTTATCAAACTTTTCAAAACACTTAACAATAAATATGCGAACCATGTGTCATGAACCTTAAGCATTGGGGGGAAGTATGAGTGGGTGCATTCCTAACCACGTGCTTCCTTTCAATTATAGTCTTTAATGTGGTTCAAATCATCAAATCCTTTTTCTAGGTAAAAAATACAAACCAATTCAAACTCTTTTGCCTTGGGCTTTTCTTTTAAAATCTTTTCATAAAAAGGATGTGTTATTTTCACTCTCTGCAATATGAAGTGTAAGTCCCTAAAGGTTGGATTGCAATATGTCAACTGCTAGAGTGCTAATGCAACATTAACCGCCTAAAAAACATAAAATAAATTGAAACACCTTTTTAGGTGAACTATGAGTGCCCTTCTCTCATTGCACGAAGAGAGCACGTAGGCACAAAGGTTCGCAACCGCGATAAACACAACTAATAAAAACTTTTGTTTTTGTATATATTTTGCATTCATGTATTTTTCCTTAGCTTGTTAGCTTTAGTTTGACACACCATTTGATTAGAACAATAAGAGTGCATCCTGTGGAGTACCGCAGACGTGAGGGGTGCTAATATCTTCTCCTTGCGTAATCGACTCCCGTACACGTTCTCTTGGTCGCAACATCTTGATTTCTCTCTTCTCAGGTTTACTCGATGTTTTCTTTTCTCTTCTTTGGGATAAATAAATATTTGATGACGGATTCAATGTTTTTCCTAGTTGCTTCACTTGGAGGCAAAATTGATGTTTGACCTTTGAAACAAAGTTGTAGAGGAGTTCAAATGTGACATTTGGCTTGAAGTAGATTACAAAAATGTTGAGAAATGAGAGAGTTATGGTGTTTGGATCAAGTGACATGCCATACTTGATTTTAGGTCAACCAAACATTTACCAACTTGTGGTTTTTTGACATTTTCTTGCATCCAAAGGCCCAAAGATGAACACTTAAATACAAAATGAAGGAATATTGATTGTCCCTTGAATAATATTGATAATTTCTTAAGAATGAATGGAGATGACATGGAAATAAACACATGAACCATACTTGAATCATCTCTGAAATCATGCACCAAACTTGAAATTATCTTGATCAAATGATGTTGAATGAAGCTTGACATGAATATGACCTAAGATTATAGGTCATCCCTTGAAGTAAAAGCTCTTGTGGACCACTTGTTGACCGGAAATTTGACTTTGAGAACTAAAACCCTAATTTAGAAACCAAGCTTGATCCTTTGATTGTGAGTCCCTACCTTGTTCAATAAGAAAAGAAAACAACACATATTTTTGTATTTAAATAAGGTTAGAAAAGTTAAAATGTAAACAAGCATAAATTCAAAAAGAAGCACAAAGTGTGTTTGGTGATCTCCCATAAAGGTTAAACCTAGAGAGGTAAAGATTATAAGGATGTCATGCTTGTGATTTTTGGTTAGATGCAAATGATATGATAAGTGGAATCTTAGGGGTAAAATTTAGGGTATGACACATACTACAAAATAATATTGCATTTAAATTAGCTTAACATGACATAAAATTTGCATCTAAATTTGCTTAACTTAAGTGCATTACTGTATGTTAATCTGATATAAATCCTTAAGCATTTTGTTGAATGGACTGTAAGTCTCTGAGTAATAACTTAAGAAACCATTGCCATAATGAGTCCTTTGTTTCAACTTCCATAATGACATAAGCTATTGGTATCATCTTATTATTTCCATCCTTACCAAAGTCACATATCAACTGACCTCAGAATCCCCTTTCAGAAAACATGCATCCAAACCAATTAGAGGCCTGTAAGTGGTTGCAAATGCTGACTTGCATTCTTCTAAGTATACATATATTCTTTCAAACATATAACCACAAGCTGAATCATCACACTAAATTTTAACTATGGAGTTCGGATTTGACTTCAACAATTCCTCAACATAACTCCTAAGATGGATGAATTCTTCACGACCAACTCCTTGAATTAAATCTATTTCTTTTTTCTTGGCTCTATAAGCTTGATCTATTGACAACTTTACCCCCACTTCTTCATTTTTTTTCTGCAATCAACCATGTAGTCTTCTATTAAGGAGTGTGTCTTAATGTCTTCACAAATTTTTGAGATAACAAATTGGCCGTTGCTTGTCTATTCCTTGATGTCCTATGATAATTATGTCGATTAGTGAAGCTAACAGGTTGCCAAAATTGGATGGTTGTCCTAAGGCTAAACTAATATAAAAGGGACAACCTACCATACATTTTACAACCAATATCTTCTTGTCATTTTTCTTGATAACAATATTCTTATTATTCTCCATTGCATACTCTTTTGTGGCATATTTGATTTGCATTTTATCCTTGAACATCATCCCAATTTCAAACTTTGTAGTTTATTTAAAAGCTGGAAACCTTTCCATATCATTTTCAACATCACTTCCAAGTGGTGTATGAAGCTTGTCTGAATCACAACTTCATTATCAGAATTATCATCCAATCTTGAGGGTTGCTCGATTGAAGTGTTAGGGAGAACTGTGGTCCAATCAACACCAACATCAAGACCTAAGTTCCCCTCATCATCCTCACTTTCCTCACCATCCTCATTGCTCATGTTATAATTAAGGTCTGTTTGATTGTCTTTATTAAGCTCAACATTTGCATCCTCATTATTGACATCTTCACTATTGACATTTGCATCCCCACCATTGACATCTTCACTATTGACGTCTTCAATATTTGCATCTTCAAAATTGATTTCTTCAACATTTTCATCTTCAACGTTTGCTCCTTCAACATTTGCATCTTCAACATTTACTTCTTCAACATTTACAGCTTCACCATTTACATCTTCAGCATTTGCATCTTCAACATATACTTCTTCAATATTTGCATCATCAAACCTAACATCTTCAATATTGACTTCTTCAACTTTGTGTTCAACATAAATGTCAATCAATTTAAATTCTCTAACATTTTCCATGAACCTTAACACATCTTTGTCATCATTCAAAGGCTGAAGTCCACGAGAAAAAGAAAACTTAGGATTCCAATACCATAAACACCGCATATTACAATACCTTTCATTTTTAATCATCTTTTCAATATCCATATAGGACATTAAGTCCACATCCCAATCCCAATTCATTTCAATTACAATCCTCCAACATGCAACTTCTCTAGATGATGAACCAAACGTCCCCTGTGATGTATTCTAATTCTAACAACTTATGTTTCAGTTAGCCTACACAAAAAAAAAAACACACCACAATAAAGCTGAGACCAACCACAAAGAACAACAAGAAAGTAACAAATTGACTACTGAAACCACAAAACTAATCAGAGGCCACAACGTAAACATAAAAAAATTACAAACCCTCAAACCACAAAACAATAATCTGAAACTTCAACAAATCTAAAACGTAACCATAAACAAATCAGCGGAACCATTATGCAAATAAACATAAAACAAAACTTCAAAACATAATCCTAAATAAAAACTTTGAACCACTTAAATATTAAAAAGAATCAAAATCTAGATTTTTAAAATAAAGAATAAAAATTAAAATAAAAAACAAAATAGAGAAATCAAAATTACAATTAAAAAAAAGTTTTTAAAAAATATGAGTATTATTATTCGTCATAAAACTAACCTTACCTCAATGTAAAGTAGTATACATGTGGTAGCAGGTAAAACCATTTTCAAGGCTGCTCAACCTTAATCCTCTTCCGGCAATTACCATTTTCCGCTTACTTTCCCTTTCACCCCCACCGTACCCTCAAAGCCATTGCTCTGCGAAAATGACTTCCATCACTTCCGTCGAGCTCAACTATCTCGTGTTTCGCTACCTTCAAGAATCAGGTTACTTTCATTTCCTTCTTCTTCTTCTCCCTTTTTATTTTATTTCATTTTTCCCGTTCGGTCAACCAAATGTCAAGGGTTTGAAAATTTCACACTTTTTCGAATGGCTCCACCGACTGCTTATAGTGTTGTTGCTACCAGATTAGGGTTTAGTAATTTAATTTCCATTATCAACCTTCAGTTTAGTGTTTGATTGCAGGAGGAGTTGAATTTGTTAGATCCGTTGTTGCTGAAAAATTGAATTTGAATGCTTTTAACGCTTTGTAAACTGAATTGGTTTACTTGCTACTGTGTAGGTTTCACACATTCTGCTTTTGTGTTTGGGAATGAAGGTGGCATTAACAAGTGCCCAATTGATGGAAATTTGGTACCACCAGGTGCTCTTGTCACATTTGTTCAAAAGGGACTACAGTTCTTGGAGATGGAAGCTAACTTGAGTAATGTTAGCATTCTTTGCATTTTGTATTATTGTATTCACTATTAGCTCAATATTCATCTGTTTGATTGATCTATGTTTTTAAGCTTTGCATACGTGGGTTTCATGTTGATAAATGTTAGCCTACCAGTGTGATGCAGACTTCGATGAAGATTTTTCGTTCTTACAACCTTTGGATCTTATCACAAAAGATGTGCATGAACTTAAGAAAATGATAAATGAAAGAAGAAGAAAACTACAGAAGGGTAAAAATAAGGAACCTGCAAAAGAGCATGATGGTGACCGCGGACGGGTAAGAGAAAAGGAAAAACATGAAAGGGAGAAAGAATGTGAAAAGGATAAAGAGAAGGTGGAAAATAAAAAAGAGCCAGAATCGGTTAGTGAAAATCCGATCAGTAGAGAAATGGTCTCAGATCAAGAAGATAAGGTTAGTGGTGCTAAAAAAGAAGATAAGGTTAACGGTGCTAAGAAAGAAGATAAGGTTAATGATGATGTTATAATAGAAGAAAAGGTGAATGTAAAGGATGAGGAGGATGGAACATTTAGAGGTAACTATCTGTTCAATGGATTTGGTTTACATTGTCTTCTATCAAAGTGTTCTCTGTTTCATGTTTGGCATTTCATGTTGTGTAACCGCATTATTGTTTATCAATAATTTCCCCCAAATGTCAATGTCATACAATACTATATTCCTCTGTTAGTTTTAATCATTTTATGCGACGATACTCGAGTTATGTTTTTTCAATCTTCTACCAGTTTTGCAGAGACTCGTTTTTTAAAACATTGACGGGTATAACATTGATTCCCTAATAGCTGCAAACTAGTTGTCTATTTCAATTGATATGCTTCTTTCAAAAGAAGATTGAAAAGTTTTCTTTCAATTGTATAGGACCAGAGCCCATGGACATCTGTACAACATCAACATCTCAGCCATGTGAAATTCCTAGCTCAGATGTGATAACTTTGGAAGGGCATACTTCAGAGGTGAAATATTTCATCAATGCTTCTTGTTTGTTAAATCTTTAGATTTGTTTTCTTTTGTGAACTCAAACTCTTTTGTTAACAAGCCCGTTTACCATCCTATTAGGTCTGTGCTTGTGCTTGGAGTCCTACAGGATCCCTTCTTGCATCAGGGTGGGTATTTTCTTCACAATTTTTTATTGGACATAGATTAAGTATTAATGTGTGTATTTTGTTAAAACGGATGTGTGCAATATTTTTCTCTCCTTATATTTCCATTTGCACAATTTATGTCGTTCTTGAAAACTAAAGGAAACCAAGAATAGACGAGGGTAAGTGGTTTTCCTCCATTTTGAATTGATTACGTTATGATCATTATAGCAATGCAATTTATTTTTCCTACCAACTTTTGTGTATTATATTGCCTTACATTTTATTACTAATAAATTTATATAGATATATTATATCTGATGTATGGACACAGTGATTTATCTTCTTGATAATCACTTCTGGTTTTACACGACCTTGTTATCATTTTTCAATCTTTTTTATTTTATTTTTATTTTTAGAAAACAAGTAGAATAATAGATGACAATTATCTTTTTCTTTTGAAGATTTTTTTTTATAATTATTTGAACTTAGGTCTGGGGATTCAACCGCTCGTATTTGGACGATAGATGAAGGGAAATGCAAATCTGATTTCAGGAGTGACCCTTCTAATGTATTGGTGTTGCCACACCTTAGGGGTATAAACAATGAAAAGAGTAAAGATGTCACTACACTTGATTGGAATGTGAGTTCTGTGGCATATTCTGATTTAAATCCATGATGATTACTGATAGTGACTTCAAGTTCCTCTCTAGTTTTCTGTTTCTTTACATCCATTTCTATCTTTTTCTTACCCCGTTGAAGTTGTCTTGAGCAGAACAATTTTGTGGGAAAAATAATGTGTTAGGATAATTTAATATATTGAAAGTTGGAAGTATTTATATTTTATGGAGAGCTTGACCTTTGGTTGCTGTTGTACAGGGGGAGGGGACACTACTTGCAACCGGTTCGTATGATGGTCAAGCACGAATTTGGACCACTAACGGTAGGCCATTTCTTCTGTCTTTCCTTCTGCTTTGAGTGATACTTAATTTTGATAACTCTTAGTGTCTGATTTAGTTGTGGTATATATGAAGTCATTGGTTATATTGTTAATTTTTTAAGCTGGCAACTTTGTGTTTATTTGAATTTGCTCTTTCGACTTCAATCAAAATCATTATTTTGATCATATTTTCGGGTCTTTGATCAGGTGAGCTGAAGAGTACATTAATCAAACACAAGGGACCCATATTTTCGTTGAAGTGGAACAAGAAAGGAGATTATATTCTTACTGGAAGTTGTGATACGACTGCAATTTTATGGGATGTTCAAGCAGAGAAATGGAAGCAACAATTTGAATTTCATAAAGGTAAATTTTTTATTATAATATTCTAAACCAAGGGAGAATTCTATAAAAAAAACTACTGGTGAGAAAACCATGTTTATTGTTTAGGTCCAACACTTGATGTTGATTGGCGCAATAATGTGTCATTTGCAACAAGCTCCACTGACACCATGATACATGTTTGCAAGATTGGCGACAACCACCCAATAAAAACTTTTGCCGGGCACCAGGTTTATTTCCGTACCTTTGTATTATTATGCTTTGCACTGAAACACTGCTGCACCAGGTTTAAATACAACATAGTACTTGTGTAAATCTTAACTGTCTGATACCAAGCTTTCTGCTATTTCAGAGTGAAGTAAATTGTATCAAATGGGATCCCACAGGTACACTACTGGCCTCGTGTTCAGACGATAGCACTGCAAAGGTTATTACACTCCACAATAGCATATTTTTTGTTAGTCGATTGTGCAATCATTTTTTACAGAATATCTTTTCTTCAGTAAATGTTTTTATTTTACCTATATATTTGTGAAATTCACCGTGTTTGTATTATACATGTTTTTTGTTTTCTTGTTTCGTAGATATGGAGTATGAAGCAAGATACGCTTATTCATGACTTTAGGGAGCATTCCAAGGTACCGGTTTGGAATATTTTTCAATATTTGATTTTGCATTTATATCTATCTGCATTTGAACTCGTACACATAAAGAACACTAAGTAATTGTTTTTTTTTAGGAGATATATACTGTCAGATGGAGCCCAACTGGTCCCGGTACAAATAACCCAAATAAGAAATTGGTGTTGGCTAGGTAAGATAGCTGTTATATTCAATCCTCTTGATTTACCTGCATGCATTTATTAATGATTTTTTACAATTCAGAATTAGTTTGCTTTGTAATCTGTGTTCCTCAACACCTGAATCTTTTACAGTGCATCATTTGACTCTACTGTAAAGCTATGGGATGTGGAGCTTGGTAAACTGATCTACAACTTGAATGGACACAGGTACTGTCTTCTTTCCTCTGTTACCAAACTGTCAACTAAACTTGCATTTCATGTTTAAAATATTAAACTTCAAGTTTATCCGGCGGTACTTGTATATCCTTTGGAAACGGATTCTGTTCTTTGACAACATTTCATAATAATAGTTGGTTGTTTTCTTTGAGTATATAGCTAATTCTTTTGGTTTTGACTTGTTTATTTGGTCGTACAGGGACGGTGTGTATTCTGTTGCATTCAGTCCCAATGGGGAGTATTTAGTCAGTGGTTCCCCTGACAAATCCATACATATATGGTCTTTGAATGACGGCAAGATCATCAAAACATACAATGGCAATGGAGGTGTTTTTGAGGTCTGTTGGAATAAGGAAGGTGACAAGATCGCAGCCTGTTTTGCTAATAATACAGTTTGCATTTTGGATTTCAGAATGTAAGGTTCTGAGATGCACCACATTACTTTGTTTAGTTGCTCAGATAATTTATTTTTATCGATATAACTGTATTTTGGCTCTGTAGATCTCCTATTTTAACCATTGCTGTAATTTCATGTTATAATTATTAGTATTTATTAGGAGTGTGTTCTTAATCTGTATTTAAACAAGGAAAAGCTCAACTTATCTCAATATGTTTGTTATTCAGTTAAATTTAAATTTTAAAACGATTTTGTTTATACTATTATAAAAGCAATTTATGTGTAGTGTCGGAGATAGTAAATAATATCATCTTATATATCAACCTTTTTTCTTGCTTTTCCTTTGTTTTGGGCAGGGGTTATATATCAAAAATGATAATAGAAAAAATAATTAGTTTCTTAATGTACCCTTATTATGGGTGATTTCAGAGATGTAATCCGAATTGTGTCAAATTTTATGAAAAAAAAGGTTGTTTCATATACGTATTTTTAAAATCAAGGGATATTTTAAATATTTTGCATATTAGATGTATTTTTTTGTAACTGACAGGTGTCAGTTTGTTATAAGTTCTGATCTGTTATAGCAGGTCACCATTTTGTATCTATAAATGTAGATCTAAGATCTTGTAACTACCTTTAACAAGAAATAGAAAACAGTTATAACATGAAATATCTCTCTCTGATTTCTAATATGGTATCAGATTAGCCTCTTTATCCATGGCAGATTCGACTTCCTCCACCGCTGCTCATGTCTCGTTGTCGTCGTCCACCGCTGTGTTGGATGAATCGCGCCGTTTGCAGTTCGTGTCGAAGATCGCGACCAAACTCGACTCGAAGAACTTTTATCTATGGCGCCAGCAAGTTGAACCATACATTAATGCGCACAATCTCACCGATTTGGTGATTTCTTCGCGAATTCCTTCTCAATTTCTTGATGATGATGCTCGACGACCAGGTACGGTTAATCCCGCGTATTCAGTTTGGTTGCAGAAAGATTAGATGTTGCTTTCACGGCTTCAATCTACTCTCTCGAGCGAGATTTTGTCTCGCGTTCTTGGATGCACTCATACGCATCAACTTTGGGATCGCTTGTTCAGTTATTTTCAGAAACAAACTCGTGCGAAGGCTCGTCAACTTCGTGTGGAGCTTCGTGTCCTAACACTTGATAATCAATCTGTTCAAGATTATCTTCAGAAAATTCGTACTATTGTGGACTCGCTTGCCTCTATTGGAGATCTGGTGCCTCTGTCTCATCATATTGATGTAATCCTGGAAGGATTACCTTCAGACTATGCTTCAGTAGTTTCAATTGTGGAAAGAAAATTTGGAGTTATGGACATCGATGAAGTTGAGATTCTTCTTATTGCGCATGAACTTCGCTTGAACAAGTTCAAGAAACAACCTGCTTTAGATATTCTCTCCCTCAATCTAACACACACTGCACCTTCCTCTCAGTCCCCTGAATCTGCTCATCTTGGAAGTACTGAGTCTATACATGTGCCTGTTTCTCAGTCCACAGAACCTGACTACTCCAATTTTAAAGGTGGCAGATCTCACAGAGTTCGTGGTGGCAGAGGGAGAGGTGGCAGAAATTCAGGTATTCAAATGCCAAGTTTGCTCTCGTTTTGGTCATTCTGCCCTAGCTTGTTGGCACATGTTTAATCAACATTTTCAACCTCCTGCTTCCTTCAATGGTCATTCCTACAATGCCACTCCCTTTCAACAACCTTCTCTTCAGCAAGCTCCATGGTTAACTTCTCCTACAACCTTTGGTCAGTTCAATCTTTATACATGGAATAAACCTCCTGCTGCTCAACCTAGACCTCAGTCTGCATATGCTCCACCAAGCACCTTTGTGGCTAACACTGCTCCCTCCTCATCTGCTGGCACTTGGTATCCTGGTTCAGGTGCATCCTATCATATCACCAGTGATGCTAGCAATCTCCAGCAACTTACTCCTTTTGAAGGCCATGAACAAATTTATATAGAGAATGGCCAAGGTCTCCCTATAAATACTGCAGGATCTAGTGTTTTTACCTCACCTTCTCACCCTCACACACAGTTCACACTTAATAATTTGCTTCATGTTCCTTCCATTACCAAGAATCTTATTAGCGTCAGCCAGTTTTGTCTTGATAATAATGTATACTTTTTGTTCATAGCTGACAAATGTCTTGTCAAATGCCAGGTCTCTGATGTCGTCCTGCTGGTTGGTCAAGTTGGGCCTGATGGCCTTTATGCCTTCCCTTCATTATTTGTTTCATCACCTGCTCAGTCTTCATCTATTGCTTTAGATTCTGTCTCCAATTTTGTACCTACTGCTAATGCAGTTAGTATTTCCTCAAATTTGTCAAATGTGTGGAATTTGAGACTAGGTCACCCTAATGAGCACACACTCAAATTAGTATTACAAAGTTGTAATATCTCTTTTAGTAATAAAGAACATAATACTTTTTGCTCAGTTTATTGTATTGGCAAGGCTCATAGATTACATGCTCATACCTCTCATACTGTCTATTACACTCCTTTAGAACTTGTATATTGTGATCTGTGGGGACCATCCCCTCAACCATCTACCTTAGGCTTCACATATTACATTTCCTTTGTGGATGCCTACTCTAAATTCATTTGGCTTTATCTCCTCAAATCCAAATCTAAAGCCCTTAACATATTTAAGCAATTCAAGAGTATGGCAGAACTTCAATTTGGACATCCTATTAAATCTGTTCAGTCTGATTGGGGAGGTGAATTTAGGCCCTTTACCAAATTTCTAAATGAGATAGGTATTATTCATAGAGTGATTTGCCCTCACACACATCACCAGAATGGTGTGGTTAAGAGAAAACATAAGCATATTGTGGAACTTGGTCTTACACTCTTAAGTCAAGCATCAATGCCACTCCAGTATTGGGATTATGCTTTCTCCACTGTTGTCTTTCTCATTAACAGTCTCCCATCTTCCTCTCTTAAGTTCAAAGTTCTTTATACTCTGTTGTTTAATTCCCAACCTGATTACAAGTTCTTAAAAGTGTTTGGATGTGCTTGTTTTCCCTTGATTAGGCCCTATCATGCCCATAAGCTGGACTTCAGATCCTAAGAGTGCCGATTTCTAGGCTATTCCACCTCTCACAAAGGGTATAGGTTTGTCTGCCCAAGGCAGACTTTATATATCTAAAGACGTGTTTTTAAATGAGTCTAGGTTTCCATTTCATGACCTTTTTTGTTCCACATCCTCCACAAACACTCCACTCAAATCTCAGTCTGCCACCTCTCTTGGTTCTATCATCCCTTATTCACTTATGCCCTGCATCACCTCCTTACCAAATCCAGCCATTTCTGGTTTAACTAATTATGTACCTACCACTGCTTTGGTACCTACTCAGACTGACTCTGGGCCTTCTACTACATCACCTACTTCATCTCATCAAAATACAGTCTCTACTTCTTCACAGTCTGAAGCATCATCCCCTTCCTCCTCTTCCTCTACCCCATCTACATCTTATATCCCTTCTAATGCTGCCCATATATCTCACAAACCTGTCAATGAACACACTATGCAGACAAGGGCCAAATCTGGCTTTGTTCAACCCAGATTGCAGCCTACACTGTTGCTGACATGTACAAAACCAAAAACTGTGAAAGTAGCTCTTGCTGATCCTAAGTGGAAACGTGTTATGCAGGCAGAATTTGATGCCCTCTGTCAAAATCACACTTGGTCCCTTGTTCCTCTTCCTCCCAACAGACAGACCATTGGCTATAAGTGGGTATTCAGAGTCAAGGAGAACCCTGATGGCAGTGTTAACATGCATAAAGCCAGATTAGTTGCTAAGGGTTTTCACCAAAGGAATGGGTTGGATTTTACTGAAACCTTTTCTCCCTTGGTTAAGCCCATTACCATCAGGATCATTTTGACACTTGCTATCACTCACAGCTGGTCCATTCAACAGTTGGATGTCAACAATGCATTCCTTAATGGAGAGCTTGATGAAGAAGTATATATGCAGCAACCTCCTGGTTTTCTTGACTCCAACTCCTCTTTAATGTGCAAGCTTCACAAGGATCTCTATGGCCTTAAGCAAGCACCACGACAGTGGTTTGAAAAGTTGAAAACTGCCCTTCTTCAACTTCATTTTGTTCCAAGCAAGTGTGATCCTTCCTTGTTTATCTTATCCTCTAAAGGACATACCACATATATCCTGGTATATGTGGATGATATCATCCTAACTGACAACAATCCTTCCACTCTTACAGCTATGATTACCAAGCTTAATGAGGCCTTTTCTCTTAAGCATCTTGGCAATCTTGATTACTTCTCGGGCATTGAGGTTAAATCCACTACTCAAGGATCTCTTCTCCTATCTCAAACCAAGTACATTAGAGATCTACTGCACAAAACTAATATGACTGATGCTGCTGCAGTTGGCACTCCTATGCATTCCACTTGTAAGCTTACCAAAATAGGTTTCAGCTGCTCTTTCTGACCCTTTCATGTACAGGTCTGTAGTAGGTGCGCTTCAATATGCCACTATTATCAGACCTGACATTGCTTACTCTATCAACAAGGTGTGTCAGTTCATGTCTCACTCTTTGGAATCACACTGGGTTGCTGTGAAATGCATTCTTCGTTATCTCAAGGGCACCATCAACTTTGGTCTTCATCTCACAACTTGCTCTCCTCACAAGGCACCTGCTCTGCAAGTATTCTGTGATGCTGATTGGGCGTCAGATCCTGATGATAGACGCAACACATCTGGCAGTGCTATCTATTTTGGGCCTAATTTGGTATCATGGTGGTCCAAGAAACAGCCTGTCATAGCCAGATCCAACACTGAGGCTGAATACATGAGTATGTCCCAAGCTACAACAGATCTCCTGTGGCTTCAAACTTTACTTCAAGAACTCTATATTTCAACTCATCCCCCAATTATTTTCTGTGATAATCAATCTGCTGTTATGCTGGTACATAATCCCATTCTGCATTCCAGAACGAAGCACATGGAAATTGATCTCTTCTTTGTAAGG